GTCCTTGGTTGGAAGGTGTTCGATGAATAAGATCGTTATGGCGGAAAACATACATCACTGGATTCATTCCTCTACCATAGTCTGTTTGAGGTCCATCTTGGAGCTCAAAAAGTCTGCAGTTCATCACTTCTTGCCGTGGTGCGCACTTAACAAACATATGGATTTTACATCTATCTGCATGCATTTCTACTTCCAAAAATGGTGTCAAATTACTTAATCTCTACATATGATAATAATATCATCTACATAAACCAGTAGATATATAGTATATCTTTTTTATTATCATAGAAATAAAGAGATGTCAGACTTAGAGTTGATGAAGTCTACTAATAAAAAAAAAATAAGTCAAGTTCGATATATCAAGCTTTTGGAGCTTGGCAAAGTCAATAAATAACTTTTTATAGTTTATAAACATGAATTGGATATTGAGGATGGATGAAGAAAAAGGGTTATCATATAAAAATATTTTCAATTAAGGTCCCTTATATAAGCATCTTTAACATCTAGTTGGTATACATGCTAGTCTTAAATAAAAATCAAACTTAGGATAAGTCAAATTATCATCAATTGAATAACTGGACTAAAAGACTTTATGAATCAATACTTGGTTATTATGAAACCCTTTGACCATTAGATATACTTTGTATCTAACAATAGATCTATTTGGATTTCACTTAATTCATAAGATTCACTTATACCTGATGGTACAAAGGTTTATGTGGTATTAGGAAAAGGACATCATATTCCTCATTTATAACTTTACGCTAGTGTAGAGATATTTGGACTTGGGTGATAATTATGGGTTCAGTAGGCTTAGGTGAAGAGTTGTGGTCGCATGAAGTTTTAAAAATTTGACGTAATTTGAAGATATCATTTTTGAAGTGTATTATCATGTGATGTCTAGGTTGAGTGCTATTATTGGTTGTGTTGAAAGTACAAGAATCGGTGAAGAGTTAGTAACACGTACTAGATCAGGTTGATGCACTTCGATATTACGTGACTGATGAGAAGACAAAAACAACATTTATGGTGCTGTGAGCATTGTTTTATTATGTATTACAAAGTCAATTAGTGGAAAGATAGATAAAAGAAGTTGTAGAGGAGGTAAGGAGTTGTGAAACTAGAGTAATAAGAGAGTATATGTCATGAAAAAAACTACTAATTGATGTGGTGAGAGGTGTACTTATATAAACCCGGATGATTGCTGTAATTGTTCAAATGTTAAAGGAGTAAGATTTCGGAAGGAAAATATATTCGTAAAAATAATATGATATGATACAAAGACCCTTCAAATTTGGGGATCATAATACAAAAAAACATTATGTTTAAGGGGATACATAATGAAAATACAAAGCTTTGGATCTTAATTTTAACTTATGTGAAATATTGGGGGTATAGCCACAGATAACATAAATAACTAAATACTTTTAAGTTTTTAAAGGTTTGAAGTTTTGTAAAATAGTTTTTTAAATGCTAATTGAAATTATAGAATTGGGGTGAGCTTACGATTAATGAGGTAGACTGTGGTTTAAAATATTACTAACCAAAGGGTTAGTAACATAGAGACTTAGTGTAAGAGGGTGAGATCGGTTTCAACTACCTTTCTAAAATGAGTAAAGAGTCTGATGACTTTAAATTTATTTTTAAGAGGATATAATCATATATATTTAGTAATATATTAAAATGATATAAAATCTAAAATTATCAAAGGAAGTTGTTAGGATAGTACCTCAAACATCAATATGAATAATTTTAAGTGGTTTTGAGTATGATATGGAAGATGTTCTAAAAGGTAGTCTATGATATGAAAGACAAAATTAAGGTCCCCATTAATGTGAGTTGCGTACATAACATGTAAAAGTATTTTGTGTATCAATTAAGTACTATGATCTATGGAAAGAAAATGGTTATCTTTGCACTACAATGATTTATGCTTTATGTGACATTATTTATATTTATATTTATAATATAAATATATATTTAGTTTTAAAAAGTATTATTAGGGTGACATGATTTGAAATGTATATGAAACAAATATTTCTGTAAGCTGTATAAGCATGATGTGAGTATTTTATATTAATAACTCATGATTTTGAAGTGTATGTAACGTTGAAGTTTTTGTGTAAGCATAAGGAAAGTATTTGAAATTTATATATATTTTAAAAACATGTTTTGAATGCATAAAAAAATTACATATTTTTAAAGAAAGTAATCATCTATGATAAGTTTTACTTAACATGTGAGTCTTTTTTTTTCTTGACAGGTAATGTTAGTCTTCAGTTTTTTTATATTTTTTGGGCAATGTCTCAATCAAACAATCAACATTACGATCTTTTGACCAAGTTTGTGATTTTTGACGTGTTATCTATCTACCTAAACATTGCATGTCGTCTGTCTTGATCTGCTCACAGGATAATTCTTTTGATTCTTCCACGAGATATAATTAGTTGCCACAATCATTGATTTGATAAAGTTGGATGGCTCCGACACTTTGTCGGTGTCTCTTGTGCTAATGTGTATTCACATCCAAAATTAGATGCTTTCTAATGAGATAAATATGATTAAAAAAGAGGGATTATGCAGGTAAAATCTTACGATCTTAATTTCATATTAGTTTTGGAAATATTGGTATGAGTGAGATAACGAAAGATGAAGAGTTTACATAATCAAGGATTAAAAGAATCAAATTATACACGCTACATTTAGCTCATCGAATATCACTTATTTAATGGTCAATTTAAGAAGCTACATATACCATCATAATAAGATCATTTTGGTCTCAGAAGCAATTCGGCCAATTCCACACACATTATTATGTGGAACAGGAAGAAACAACAACCACGACAATTCCTGCACTACAATTAATTCAACGTCACAGTCAAAGCACGTATCAATTTTGACCAACATGTCATCTGGACAAGAAGCAATTTCTTGTCCAAATTGTGTGTATATGTGTATATAGCAAGTACGAGCCATGTGGGGAATCACAACCTTAAGCTCGTTGCCGATGGCGAAGAAGACGACCACCTTCCTCCTCCTCAACTTGTTCATGGCTGCTCTCTCCACGCTAACGACAGCGGCAGTTTCACCTGCGGTCTTTGTGTTCGGAGACTCCACCGTCGACGTCGGGAACAACAACTTCTTGCCCAGCGAAGCACCGAAGGTCAACTTCCGTCCCTGGGGAATCGATTTCCCTGGAAGAACTCCCACCGGGAGGTTCAGCAATGGCTTCATTTACTCCGATTATATCGGTATGCATTCAGTTCTAATGTCGACGCTGCAGTGTTTTACTCCTCTTATTCTAACTTGTTTGCTTCGCGCTGCTTAAAGCCAAAGCAGTAGGCTTAGAGGAGTAAACTTCGCATCTGGCGGGGCAGGGATTCTCTATTCCTCAGTTAAGTCTTCGGTGATGAGATTGATACGGTGTCGTGGACTACAGTCAGTGACTATTTTTGATGACCTGATGGTGGAAGGACGCAGATGTGATCGCCATGGCGACACAGATTGAAGACTTCGAGCAGGTTGCGGCGAACCTAACGGAAAGATTAGGGAAGAAGTCTGCTGCTGTCTTCCTCGATAAGTCTCTCTTTTACTTGAGCGTTGGGAGCAATGACGTCTTCACGCAGTATTCTCTTCTCAATCCTGGGAACAGCACTCAGAAGGATGAAGCCGTCGTTCCTGTAATCAGCAAGTTCAAGCATCAATTAGAGGTATCCTCTCTCTGTGTCTCTCTCTGTTATTTATCCTATATGTTATAAGAAAGTAGAGAGGTCTCAAGACGACTAGTTTTTTTCTGAGGAAAACACTAAATTGCAAGTCATCAACTTCCTTTTGCAACATTAAGATCATAAAAGGCTGACTGAAGTTCAAATTATGGTAGAGGCTATATGATCTTGGAGCACGAAAGTTTGCAGTCCTGGGAACTGGATTGCTTGGGTGTATTCCAATCTTCAGAGCAGCGGTTCCTTCATATGGGTGCTATGAGGATCTAAATGATTTTTCTCTACGCTTCAAGACTGCCACAAAGGCCATCCTGGAGGAGCTCAGCATGTCATTGAAGGGATTCCAGTACTCGTTTGGAGATTCATATGAAATGGTCACTAAAATCTTCTCTCATCCCCAAGAATTTGGTGAGCACGTTGGACAAAATCGACACTTGAACCAGTTATCTTTCTCTGCAAGCAATTGACCTGGTGATGCTGCTGCCATCTGCAGGGTTTACGGAGCTCAAAGCTGCGTGCTGTGGAGGTGGGAGATTGAACGCGGAGTCTGATTGCCTGCGGAACTCCACATACTGCAGCAACCGTGACCAATACGCCTTCTGGGACTTGAGTCATCCTTCCCAGGCTTTGTCCAAAACGATCGCCCAGCTGTCACTTTACGGGCCGCCATTGTTCGCCAACCCCGTCAACTTTCATCACCTGGTGAAGAGTTAGAACCACTGGAGTGGAGTGTTTTCTGCAGCATCTTTGAACAACTTGGTCTGAGAATAAACTCGCCTTCTTCTTCTTTTGTGTGACGCACTTGTAATGAGGAGGGAAGGTGTTTGATGAATAAGATCTTTATGGCGGTTATTCTTCTCTTGTGAAACGCACTTGTACTCGAGGCTGAGAGGTGTCTGATGAATAAGATCTTTATGGCGGAAAACATACATCGCTGGATTCATTCTTCTCCCATAGTGTGTTTGAGGTCCATCTCGGAGCTCAAAAGTCTGCAGTTCATCGCTTCTTGCCGTGGTGGGCACTTCACAACATAGGGAGTCGGGAAACTATTCATCTCTCTGCATGCATTTCTTCTTCCAAAAATTGTGTCAATTTTGTAGGTTCATTTGAATGTCGGATCTTTGATCGTTGCTTGTTTCCACTTGTCTCGGCATCAGATTCATGCAATTCTAGCCTGCATTAC